ATTTTATATATATCTATATCTATATCTATATATCTTCATAATATATGCATGGCACTTTACAGATAACGACAAAGCCTCCCTCTGGGAGAGCTTATTGTTTAAGTTTTAATTCCATCATAATGGGTGTATTAAATTAAACAAGCAGAAGACAGATTGTATAATATGATGGGCACCCTCAATTCCCACTTAAATCCGCGGGTGTTGAGAAAAATCAGCACTTCACAAGAACAGACCTTAAATTAGATTAAATCAAGAAGAGGGGTGGGACAGAAGCTGAGTGGAGGGTCAGAGTGGATCAGAACAACCAGATAATGCAGGTGCATGGGTAAAGTAATGTATGCATTTTGAGGGTATTTTTCTTATAAACAGGGGAAGGCTATGGCTCAATGGTGGACCAATTCAGGGAGGGATTCAACACATAGTGGGACAGTTAGACAGGCACCTCGGGGTGAGCAAAAAGAAACAACAGCCAAATAGAGGAGCCAAATTTTACGGGGCCTGGAAGGCAAGGAGGAGATAGAATTCAATGCAGAAGGCAAAAGAGAGCAGGATCTGAGCATGGTCAGGCAAAGTAGATTATTTTTGCAGCTGGATTATGGTCTGGAGACAAGTGAGAAGTCAGAGAAAGGAGTGTTGCTATATCAAGATGCAAGACTAACAAGGCCTGGACTAGGATATTACTGACGAGCATGAAGAAATTATGGATTCTGGAGAGAGAGTAGGGGAAAATCTGGCAGGATTAAGTAACATCTGCAATGTGGAGAGGAGAAAGAGAGAGAGGACTCGAAAATGACACCAATGTATACATGTGGGACAGGGAAGGTGGCAGAGAAGTTGATGAAACTGGCTGCCACTGACAATGGCTGTCTCACTCTGATGAATTCCAGGAAAACAAACACAGTGCTGCTCAGTTTGCGGTCTGGTGAGCTATACAGAACTCTTTAGCTAGAACTTAGATACCACGGAGGAGACAAACAAGCACTCATTCTTTATGGCAATTTGATTGCATTATTCAGCATATATTTTAGAGTTTTATAGAATAATGTTTCTGACCTTTGTCAATATAAGATTTAAGACATCTGGTCTTCAATATATTATTAAAATCTCAGTTATTGCCATATCTTAAATCTAAGCCGAATAAGCAAAACCTAATTTCTATTAATGTGATCTCCTTATACAACAATTTTAAAATTTTGATAAGTTTATACTCATGACTTTGAACTCAAATGAGCCTTTGCACTTTTAAATTTACTAAAGCTGTACAAATAAGTGCAAAGTTAAATCACCAGTTTCCTCCCCTAAATTCTGCACTACTTATCTTAATCTGGAATAGAAGACATTTGTTTTAGAAAAGATGAATTATTAAAACCTAGATACAAAAATATTCATAAAAATGCAATAGCTAAGTTCTTACATAATCAAAACTTACTTTGGTATCACAAATCAAACTGTGACTTTTTTGGCAACTCTATGCCAAATGAAAACAAATATTTTGTAGAATTAGACTGTAATCAAACAACAGGATGTTTGTTCATGTTCACTATCCAGTTATTGTTTCAAGCAATTCTGACTAAACTGTAGCTAAATTTCACATTAAAATCTGAACTCCCCACATGGGGCAAACTCCAGATCATTTAAAAAAAGTACTATTTTGCAAAGCTCAGAAAAGGGACAGAAGTACAGTGAGAGCAGACATTCTCTAGGAAAACTCATTTTGCAGATGCAACAGTCTTAAAGTGGCCGCATCTTGAATGATTCGCTTTTGAGCTCTGAAAATGCAGTTGCCTCATTAAATGTTTTTCATCAAAACAAAGATAACAAACGTTTCTAAAGCATCAATTGGGTTTTTCCCCCAAATCAAGTGTTCTTTAGTAGAGTTCACTAGAGCTTGTTCACAGAAAAATCTCCAACCTATATGTTTTATTTTGTAAAATTAACTCATGTATTCAGTTCCAGATGGCTTAAAAGAAAGAAAGTGAGCACCGACGACTGCTGTCAAAGGGAGCTGCAAATGCTCAGCTACTCCCATTTATCAGGCTGCGTGAATATTGCAAAGGATCTAAAATTTAACAAGAATGATGAGTTAAATGTTCTGCACTGTACTAATATCAGATACATTTAGATATTTTTAATCCAAGCCAAGATACTAATTTTGTGGGGGTCCATTAAAAAACAAACTGTAAATTTCTCCCACCCTATTTCCTGGTTCTTATTCTCCCTGAACGTTTTATAAAACTGTAGAATATAGTTTGAACACAAAAAATTATCTTAACGAGTTAAAAAAGTTTACCTGTTGAGCAATGTGAGAGAGATGAGCTGCCTGTAGTGGTGTACCTTGTATGGACGTTGTTTGTGGTGGTGTCGCTGAACTGTTACTGGTACTCTTGTGCACTTCTTCCATAATCAACTACAAGAAAACTAGGGAGTTAATTCAATTAATAATACTTTTCAAAATTGTAGGCTGGGATTTTCAAAGGAAGTTAGGTGCCCAACTTCCATCAACTTTCAATGGGCTTGGGGTGCCTAACTTCTTTATGCCTATATGAAAATCCAAGACATAATTAATATTAGTACTTTGCATTTCTACACCACCTTTCATCAGAGGATAGCAAAGCACCCAAACATTCTTTAATTAAAAGATTCGCAATCCGCCTTTGACATAGTTAAGTGTTACTATCCCCTTTTTAGAGATGGGGGAACTGAAGCACAAACACATTAGCAACTTGCCCAAACCCACAGAGCAAA